GAACTTCATCTTTGGGGACACGCTCTTTGAGTATAGCCCCTAGAGATACCTTAACGCTACGTATTAAACGCTCCCACGCCCCACCCCAATGGGGGCTTGCCGGTGGGATAAAAGACCATTGCGTCCCATTGTTAGCAGCCTCGTTCTTCAGGGTCTCGTCGTCAATCGACTTCAGTAGCTCCGCATCAGCGCCACGTAGGTTAGTTCCGTTATCGGAGTAAAGGTAGCGTGGCCACCCTCGGCGGGCAGCCATATTATTAGTGAGTCAGTAGTAAGGGAAATGCACGATCTCCAGGTGTATAGCCCGAACTGTAAGGCATGTAAATATGACTCCGTACCGTTTTTCCCTTCTCCTCCCTACCACCACCTCCATCGGTCCAAATAGATCCACACCGCAGTGTGTGAAAGCTCGCTGGTGATGTGCCACCCTAGCGGGAGGTAAATCGCCCATCACTGGCATTTCCGGTTTCGCCTTCTTTATTCTGCAGATCATACATCCGGCAGCTACATGTTTAACAGTGGGTCTCATTTTAATGATCCAGTACCTTTGCCTTAGGTTATTTACCACTGTCTCCTGGTTTCCGTGGGCAGCTTTTATGTGGAAATGTCTTACCAACAATCGCGTCACTCGATGCCGCCCGTCGAGGATATTCGGGTTTTTTGTCTCGGAAGAGATATCAAGTGCCGCACCAATGCGTTCGCCGCAACGAAGGACGCCGTGCTCGTCCAAATAAGGTGACAAGTTGAGAATACGACTGCTGCGGGGCAAACATTTACCTTCTCTAATTGCCGCGGGGCGCGGGGGAGCACTGACCTGCTACGATATCAGCTGTGTCCGTTGCCTTGCGATCACCTGTCTCGCTCGCACCTAGAGGGCTTAGGTAGCACCTAGGAATGCGTACATTACTCATTTCCTTTAGCAAATCGATTCAGGTTTTCCATTTATTAAAAATGCTATTGGGAATCTCGTCGTCCCAGCCAATGTTTGATCGCCAAAGATTTTGAAGCATTATTTTCCCTTGTATTGTGAACGGCGACAAGAAACCAAAAATATCGTAAATAGACATAATTACTCGCAGCATAACCCTTTTAGTGGGCACTTGTGCTCCGTTCACTACGTACTCTGGAATGCGCTTGAAGGATAAATCAAACCCCAGCTCGTCTTTAGCGGGAAACCAAATAAGACCGAGCGTTCGTTCTCCTTCACACTGCTGACCCATTTTGAGACTTACCGCTACTGTACCTAAGGTCTCTTTTGGTATGCTGTCCAACACTACTACACTGTTACTATTCCAATTGCATATTTCGAAGCCGCCCTCTTTGTGAATGTAAACAATATCTCTTACCATCTGCGTCGCGGTGGCTTCGTCCGGGAAACTGTCCAGATAGTCGTCCATGTAGTGCTGGTTGCAGATAGCGTCGGCAGCAGCGGGCAGCGACGAAACGAAACGTTCCGCGTTCCTGTTTTTCACGTACTGTGCTATAAATATGAGCGAAGTCATGTTAAAAGTTTGGACCGATTGTTCGGGGCGAGGTCTCCACAAAAATCTAAGGGAATTTTGATCCTCGTCCCTTATTTTAATTCTCAGGAACATGTCTTTAATGTCCCCGGCTACAGCGACCCTATTCTCTCTAAAACGTACCATAATGCCGAATAAGGACGCGAGTAAGTCGGGACATTGCAATAGGTAATCATTTAAACATTTTCCGTGCCTTTTCGCTGCTGCATCGAAAACGAGACGCAACTTTTTTTTTATTAGGATTATCGACCCCAAAGTGTGGTAAATACCACGTTCGCGGTGTGCGCCGAATATCAGTCGACTCTTTAGCGAAATCATTAAGTAAAAGGTGATCCACTCGTTCAGAGTAACGAGTGGCGTAGTCAGGGTTCGCCACCATCTTTTTTTCTACTCCTTTGAACCTGTTGCAAGCGTTAGCGTAGCTATCGGGCAACGCGCAGCCTTCATCGCGCCACGGAAGCCCGACGTGCCAGCGGCCCGCCACGAGCGTTGCCGAGCGCTCCGCCTGAGCGCGCGCGCGCACGTCTTCGCTGTTCTCACGGGGTTTGTTACACACACCTAGGGAATCGAGCATGAATGAGCGCCTTACCTCGTCATGAAGTTCGCGAAGTAAGTCCTCGGCATCACCGGCGGCGGGCGCGGCGGGCCCCGCGCTGCAGCACAGCAGAGGGCTCGGGTTCGAGGCGCGGGCGCCGTGTGGCGGTGCGCGCGCTATTCCATGTAAGGACCAGTCTAGGGTGGTGCGAGTAGCGGACGGCTCATTACGTTTACCGATACACATTTCAATAGGAGCTAACAAATGATGATTATCCTGGCCGATTAGTACTTCAGGTTTAATATTATTATTACAAAATATTAAATCATGTTTCAAATTTTTCAAATGAGCATACTGACTACAATCGATTGAATAAAGATTTTGCTCAGGCAATTTTAAATTGTTTACGCTTCGTGCATTAATGGTAGACATATTACAGTTATTTTTATCAGACACATTTATAGACAAAACAGTAGAATCAACAATAACATCGCTACCGATCCACGCTCCGCTCACGCGCATAGTCTCAGTGCGGCCGCGCAGGCCAGCCCGCGCAGCGAGGGAATCGGTTATCAATGTTATTGTTGATCCGTCGTCGAGCAATGCAGTCGTGCTGATTACACCATTAGGTCCGTGTATGTTTATAGGTACTACTTTCAATAACACGTTGTGTGCAGAGTTAATGTATCACGGTAGCAGCTGCGGCTCTGGAAGTGTGGCCGCTGTGGGCCGCGTCGCCGGTGTCGCCGGTGTCGCCCGCGCCGGGCGGGGCGTGTCGCGGCTTCCGGCTGGCGTCGCGCGGCTTCCGGCTGACGTCGCGCGGCTCCCGGCCGGCGTCGCGCACGTAATGCAGCAGCCGGTGGTGTGCCTCGCCGCAACCGTCTTTGTCGCAGACGGCCGCGGGACACGTTTCTCGATCGTGGCGCGACACTAAGCACTTGTAACATACGCCGTGGCGTTTAACGTGACGCCACCTGTCTTTGCGCAACGCTTTTTTTAAACATTTTGCACTCAGTTAATTTATGTTTTGCGACGTTGCAAAATAAACAATTAATGTCACTGTGCGTTGATTGCACTAATACTGCATGAGGACGACTGTCAGGTTTACTCTTGTAGTGCTGCTGAAATCCGACGCTGCGAGCCTCTGTGGCGTGTACGTTCGCTGTAGTCGAAATTTTAACAGCTTCTTGATTTAAAAAATCGCATAATATATTCAAACGTGATTTCTTTCCTTCCTTTATTATAGCAAAACTATAATCGGACCATTTTGATATTAGTACGGTAGGCATCTTGGATAAAATAATATTTAAAATATGCATTCCTTGCATGTACTCTTCTCGGCCGACGGCGTGCACAGCTGCGATGAAATTTTGAACTTTAACTGAGAACGACCCGATGTCTTTGTTGTATTCGTTCGACATAGGTGGTAGTTTCTTCAGGCCCTGGGTAATTTTGCTTAGAATGGTGTCTGCGTTACCGTATAGTAGCTCTAAAGTTTTTATCACTACGTCGGGTGATGTAGCGCTTATCATGAGAGCTGAAACTGCTTCCTTAGCTGGCCCGTGAAGACACTTCCTTAAACGCCATAAATTTTCCTTCGGGCTAAACCCGCACACTTCGATAGACTCGTCATAAGCCTGCTTGAACTGGAGCCATTCCAACGAGTCCCCTGAGTAACTAGGTAGGTCCCGGGGGGTACACATGCGACTAAGCAGGTTGTTGTTTGTCCCATTATTTGCAGAGATCGAGGATAGATTCTGTAGTGCGCTCGCGAGCATATGAACCGTTCCGTCACATGGGCCGGCAACGGGTGCCGCTGGCGGACACTGCTTGCCCGGCTATCACCGAACTCTGGAGCGTGCAACGGGGGTTCGCGCTCGAGCTGGCTTTGTTCTAACCATTGCTCCACTTTCTTATTCTTGGTGTCGTCGTGCGGGTCACTATGTGGACTGTATATTTCCTCTTTTTCATCCATAAGGTCTGCTAAATCCGCCTGAAACTGCTTAGCGATGAGATCCATTTGAATTTTAGCCTTTTCTTTAGCCATCTCTAGTTCCAGTTTCTTTCTCCTGGCCATCGGAGAGGACGACGTGGACGTTGACTTAGCCCCGGTGCGCGAAGCGGGCGGCTGTTGCAAGCGGTACTCGTGCTTGGCGCTGCTACCCGCAACATCATATAGTTGGCTAGCGGTCGGTGTCTGTTTATCCTTCTGTGTATTTCCATCAGTTGGCTGTGGCTGCACTTGTAACTGGACTTCCTGATTTTCGTCCTCTTTGCTCATGAGCTCCTTGCGTGTAGTGCTTCAAGTTTTTACCATTTTTGCAGGCGGCGTGCTGAACATTAGATCCGGTTCGAAGACCACTTTGTAAAGGGTGCACTGGCGCGATAAAATGGTAGGAAACTCGAAAAACAAAATTCGTTAAAACCGTTTATTTTTAAATGACACAACGTAGGTACACGAACAAGAGCATATGAGAGAGAGCAAGGGTACGTAAGTCGCGTGCGATAGTAAAGGCTGACTGCCTGCGTCGCCGTTCGATTTCTAGTTTTAATACAACACTGTAACGTCACACGTATCCTCGATTTTCTACCTTAAAATTTAGTATAATATTTAAACATATGAGATGATTGGGCCGTCATACCCGCCACCTTAAGCTAATACAAATTTGTATAACGATTTTTGAGCACGTCGCTAACATCATCCATACGTAAAATCATAGACTTATTATACTATTTATATCGACGCATAAAATATAATAATAATAATAATAATAATCGGATATCACGCAGAAACTAACGGAGCGCATAGACGACCTGAAGCAAAAGATTGCTGCTTGGGGGAAGCGGATTCGCCGATTTACTGAGAGGTCAAGGCGGTTCAACCAGAATCGTCTCTTCCAGAGTGATCAGAAGAGGCTCTACAAATCATTGGAGCGACCAGAGGTATGTGGAGCGGGCCCAGGACCGGACCTGTCTGCACTGTCGCATTTTGGCATGGCCTGTGGTCAGAGCCCGTAAACCACAGCGAGGGCCCTTGGACGGAAGTTGTGGCGAGTCAGTGTGCGAGGATTACGCCCATGGACCCCGTCATCATAACGCCGGATGACGTAGCTGAGGCGGTCCGTAGAGCCCCGAACTGGAAAAGTCCGGGACTCGACGGACTGCATCACTACTGGCTGAAGGGGTTCATGGTGTGTCACGCTGTGCTCGCCCGTCAGTTTCAAGAGGCTCTCAACCAGAAGTCGCTCCCTAGCCTCTTCACTACTGGGATCACTCATTTGGTTCCTAAAGACCAGGTTACCACAGACCCGAGCAAATACCGCCCCATTACGTGTCTACCCACCATATATAAGACACTGACATCCATTTTGAGCGCGAGAATCACTCGTCACCTGGAGCTAAATCAGATGATGTCACGCGCTCAAAATGGATGTCGGGGCGGTGGTCGTGGAACTAAGGAACCACTCCTCATTGACGCGGTCATTGGCAAAGTGGTGAAACGCAACCGTCGGAACTTCTCCGCCGCCTGGATAGACTACAGAAAGGCATTCGACTCGGTGCCCCATACATGGCTAAAGAGAGTCCTCGAGCTGTACAAGATAGACTGTACAGTGAGAGACTTCCTCGAGCAGTGTATGGGGCAGTGGAGTACGATCCTTTGTCATCTGGGTGAGCGGATGATGGCTGCGGAGAACCACATAAGGATAAGAAGGGGTATCTTCCAGGGCGATTGTCTGAGTCCAATCTGGTTCTGCCTCTCCCTGAACCCTCTCAGTACCTTACTGGAGGGATCCGGGAGAGGATTTCAGCTTCGAAAAGGAGGGACAAAAGTGACCCACCTTTTTCTATATGGATGACCTCAAGTTATTCGCCTCCAGTCGCTCCCATCTTATGGAATTGCTAAACATCACTTGTGAATTTAGCAATTCTATTAGAATGGAGCTGGGGACGGATAAGTGTGCGGTCCTCCATGTTGAGAGGGGAAGGGTTGCTAACTCTGAGGGCATAGATTTATCTATGCCCGTCAACTTAAGGACCCTTTCCGAGGCTGAAACATACCGATACCTGGGTATGTCACAGAACATCGGTATCGATGAGGCTGGTATGAAACAGTCAGTTTGCGACGTGTTTTATGCACGCTTGACCAAAGTGCTTAATAGCCTTTTGTCCGGTGTGAATAAGACACACGCATATAACGGTTGGGTCATACCTGTCCTTATGTATACCTTTGGCATACTCAGGTGGACTCAGACTGAACTTAACGCCCTGGATAGAAAAGTCCGCACTACCATGACGTCCCATAGGATGCATCATCCGAGATCGTCGGTAATGAGGCTGTACTTGCCGCGAAAGCATGGTGGGCGTGGCTTTCTGAGCGCGCTCACTATGCATAATCGTGAAGTGTGCAGCCTCCGTGATTACTTCCTGGCGAGATCGGATGATCCATTCTATAATGACGTCATTTCTAGTGATAAAGGGCTTACCCCTCTATCCTTGGCCAACGAGCAATGGCAGGACCCAGCAGTGCTTAGCATTTCCGACCGGGAGACCGTATGGAAGGAGAAGGAGCTCCACGGGAGGTACTACAGGGCTCTACATGAGCCCTTCGTAGATACAGTCGCCTCCCTCAACTGGCTACGTTTCGGTGACCTCTGCGGGGAAACCGAGGGTTTTGTCTGTGCAATACAGGATCAGGTTATTAAGACCAACAACTATCGGAGATACATCCTAAAGGATGGCACCGTCGACGTCTGTCGAGCTTGTCGCCATCCCGGGGAGTCACTTAGGCATATCATCTCCGGTTGTTCGGCGCTTTCTAACTCTGAGTACTTGCACAGGCACAACCTAGTAGCCAGAATTCTACACCAGGAGCTCGCTCTGAAATACGGTCTCGTGGAACGGAAATTGCCGTATTACAAGTACTTGCCGGAAGCCGTGCTCGAAAATGACCGCGCCAGGCTCTACTGGGACCGGGCCATCATCACAGACAGGACTATTCTTGCAAATAAGCCTGATATTGTGCTGATGGACCGGGCACAGTCAAGGATATTTTTGGTCGACATTACCATTCCGTATGACGAGAACCTCGTGAAAGCTGAAACAGATAAGCGAACAAAATATCTGGACCTGGCTCACGAGGTGACCGACATGTGGGGTGGTCTGCCGGCCGAAATTATTCCTGTAGTCGTCTCTGCGAATGGGCTAATCCCAGTCAGCCTCTCGGGTCATCTGAGGCGACTGGGACTCCGTGACGGACCGCTCCTGGCTCAAATGCAGAAGGCAGTGGTCCTCGATACCGCCCGCATCGTCCGTCGGTTTCTTTCCCTTTCCCCCTAACCCTCGGCCGTTTGGTCTCCCCTGCCGAGGGCTTCCATCTGGTTGGATCTTTATTTATTTGTGTATTTTTTGTATTTATTTTATTTTATTGATATTTATGTATATTTATCTTTTCATTTTAATATATAATTATATATTTATAGAACCCAACCAGATGAGAAAACTATATTGATACCCCATAATAATAATAAATTTGTTTATTTACCAGAAAACACGTAGCCAAAATACAATAAGTTCTGTGACTCCCACACTAGGCATGGCCTGTCTCGTGGGGGTCAAGCAAAAGATTTTACAATTGATCAAAGTGGCTATTTGTCGAAATTACGTAAAACAATTATGTGCAGCAAAGCAAAAATGACTTAAAAATTTATGAAAAATTACAGACATAACAAACAGATTCTAATTAAAAGGGGCGCGCGTGTACTTGTGGGTGAATGTGTATGAATGTGTGTGTGTGTGTGTGTGTGTGTGTGTGTGTGTGTGTGTGTGTGTGTGTGTGTGTGTGTATGTGTGTGTGTGTGTGTGTGTGTGTGTGTGTGTGTGTGTGTGTGTGTGTGTATGTGTGTGTGTGTGTGTGCTAGCATGCCTGTTACATAATTCTCTAAAAATTGTAAGTAAAAGGGTGAGAGCTGCTGATAAGCTGAGTGGTTAGGTAGCCCTACGATTAAATTCTTGGGATCAGACGACAGGGCGTGCGTCAGTGCAGTCCACTACCGTTTTAACACCTATTTAAGGGTCACCAATATTTCTTCTGATTTCTCATAGTCCCAAGTCAATAAATGACCTCTCATTTTTATTTTAGCCTCATAAAGTTGGGATCGTTTTAAGTCGTATAAGTTGACTAATTTGTTGTAGATGCGAGGGGATTGGAACAGTGTGAAATGACGTGCGAAAGATGTTTTAACTAAGGTTGTGGGGATCTTAAACACTCTTTTATTTATTAATGTATTAAGCGTCGGCAGTTTTGAAGCTTCCTTGTGCATATATGTAAAGGCCCTCAGAAGATACAATCTACGGACACTTAAAACTTGAGCTTCTCTAAAGAGATCTGACGTATGATAGCGCCTTGGTTTACCCATAGCTACCTTCAAAACTGCCCTCTGGGCCCTTTCCAGTACTATCAACGTAGAGGAGGATAAACCACCCCACGCCAGTATACAATAGCTAAGTACGGACTGACATAGTGCAAGGTAGACGGACTTTAAAATGCTGCCATCAGTAGAATCTCTCAATAGTCTCATCGTGTGTATCAGCTTACCGACCCTGGCTGATGTCACCGATATATGACTTTTAAAGTTAAGATTTTCATCTATTATAATGCCTAAATATTTAAGGGAGCCGACCCTACTTATCTGGTCACAGTTACAATTTGGAGAGCTCACGGAGCGAAAACTACAGTTGTCGTTGTGTACTTTAAGGCTATTGAAAAGTGAGGGTGGCGGTTCAGACGCTGCAGTTTTATGAAAACAAATTAACTGCGTTTTTGAGGTGTTCAGTGTTAAGATGTTGTTATTTAACCATTTTTGTAATTTATACAACCCGGAGATGGCTGAAAAATAGGCGTCGTACCAAGATTTACCATAGAATATTATGGCTGTATCGTCAGCATAACATACAACCTCACTATTTTCAAGTTGAATTGACATAATATCATTAATGTACGAAATAAAAAGAGTCGGCCCCAAGATGCTACCTTGAGGAACACCAAAATCTACAGATCTAAGATCGCTTGCCTGATCGCCTATTTGGACGCATTGCTTTCTATCCGACAGATAGCTGGAAAACCAGTTTAGAGCTAGACCACGAATCCCAAGAGCACTTAATTTCTTAAGGAGGATGGGGATGGATACCGTGTCGAATGCTTTAGCCAGATCGAGAAAAACACCGACACAGGATCGACCCTGATCGAGATGAGTTACAACCATATCTGTGAGAAGAGTTACTGCGTCCTCAGTTGATTTTCCCTGGCGAAAACCGAACTGACGGTCCGAGAGTATGCTATTCTTTTCAAGATAGTTAGTCAGCCGCTTATGGACTACACGTTCCAGGAGCTTCGAGTAACTACCCAGGAGTGATATGGGTCGGTAATTACAAGGATCGTCCGTAGCTCCATTCTTGTATATGGGGGTAACTGCCGCAACTTTCCACTGGCTTGGGAAGACTCCCGATGAGATACTTAAGTTAAATATCGCAGCCAGGGGCTCCGCGATTGTGTGGGCCACTGATTTTAAAAGTTTGTTAGTGATGCCGTCCATACCAGGCGCACTACCTGAATCAAGAGACCGGATAAGACCCAAAACTTCCAGTTCATCTGTAGGATTCATGAAATATATTTCTACGAAGGGTCATATTAAGGTTATTATTCGAACTAATATCTCACTGAAGTCCTTAATAATACAGTAATTAGCTCCAAAATCATCATCACTCAAAAAAACTTAAGCCCTTTAAATGCATAATTTGAAGCTCATTTCATTTTTATTTTTATTCTAATGCACGATTGCGGCGTAGAATGATAGATGCAAGAGCTAAACGTGTCAATATTGTATAGCAAACAATAAGATAAACCAAAAAACACAAATCCTAAAACTTTACTGTTTTGCTATTGCCTAAATTCCAATTGCAACGCAATATTAAACACACCATATGCAGCTGTCAACAAAAGTGCCTCAAGCGTACCAATTTTGCTTACAATCGGATTGGATGTATGGGTCACCAGTACAGTGGTTCGGCGTGAGTTGTATATGTTTATATTTTAAATAACAGAATACTAATATAGGATAGGATAAAAGATTTATGTGACTCCGAATGAAGTAACATTATTCGATGTAAAAATAACCTTTACTGGCAATAATTTTACAAAAGCGAAATTAACTTCGCGTACAAGATAAGTTAGCTGAGGTAAGTAGCGCGCGCATCTTATCTTATTCCTATGCTAGCTACAGGCGGAATGAACGGTGGTCGGGCTCGTGCCCTGACGAAGACGTGGGGTGTTGCCGATCGAGGTCGCGCTATTGTTTTGCTCCGACGGCGTGATATTCGACCATGGCTCAATCTTCATAAGCGTGTGATTCACATATATATTCGGAATGTTGATAGCGTGATTTAGGCTTCAGTGTGTTTCGCTTGCGGCGCGACGACAGCGCTGCGACATCACCCCCCTGCTCAGACCGGAGGTCGATAGTGCAGTCTCGTTGTCGACAAATGTGCAAGTGCCAGGAGGTTGCCTTGTAGTCTGCGGTGAGTCGAGAAGAAGGCAAGTAATCTGCGAGAGTGCCGTGAAGCAGAGGCGAGCAGTAAGGCTCAGAGCCGTGTCGAACACTGTAGAGCGCAGAGAGTAGCTTTGAGGAACAGGAAGCATTATTATTCCAGTGCTGCGATGAACCTTGTGAAGCTAGCTGGCTTGCAGAGTATGAAGACTGCAGACGATATCTGCTCGGGAGCGAATGGGTGGGGTATTTTATGACGATGATGAAGCTTGAAGTTTCCGAAAGTTGTTGGTTGCGTGTTCAGATCACGTCGGGGTCACCACTGTGGCCGTGGAAGGAAAAGGGGAGATCTCCCGCCGGGCAAGGTGTTCTGCCCGGGGAGCGGCCAACACTCCGTGTGATTGTTCGGAGATGTTCTATATATACTGTTTATGATTCGGAATGTTGATAGTGTGATTTAGGCTTCGGTGTGTTTCGCTTGTGGCGCGACGACAGCGCCGCCACAAGCGTAGCGGATTTATGTGGGGACCAACAGAAGCAAGTTACGCCACATATTCCCCCTGGCCAGACCGTAACTACGGTCGATAGTAGTCGGGAAATCTCACTCTTCGGCTACTCCGCGTGATTTTCTCCTTGTTGACAATAGGTTCCGCAGGGACTTTGGGTTCCGGGTCTTTGATTCTTTGGCCATGTACGCTGGTTTTAGTCTGTCAACAGAGACGTCATTTTTCTTTCCCCTTATGTCTATAGTGAAGTACTTGGCTTGTCTGTCTAGTACTTTGAAGGATCCGTTGTAGGGTGGTAGGAGTGAGCTTCGAACGTGATCTCGGCGAAGTAAACATGAGAGGATGTGTGGAGATCCCGTGGTATGCAGAATAGCGTTATAGCGCTGGTGTGCCATGAAGTCTGCTTGGGAGTGAGTTTAGCCATGCAGGATCGTAGACGTGTAACGTACTCTGTGACGTCTGCCATGGTGCAGTCGTCTATTGGACGTAGGTATTGGCCTGGTAAGCTGAGGGATTGACCTTTTACCAATTCAGCAGGCGTAGGTTGGAGATCCTCTTTCCTTCATGAGTTGCGCATGCCCAAGAGAACCAGTGGAAGGGCTTCCGTCCACTGTGATGATGTGTGGCACATGATCGCCGCCTTGAGTTGGCGATGAAGTCGCTCGATGATACCATTCGCAGCTGGGTGATAGGCGGTTGTGCGTAAGTGACGCGTACCAACAAACTTTGTGAGAGCTTTGAAGAGATCGCTCTCGAATTAGCGACCACGGTCTGTAGTCACCAGTGCAGGACAGCCGAATCGGGTTATCCAGCCAGACACCAGAGTAGCTGCGCTGGTCTCCGCCGTGATGTCCACCATGGGGTAAGCCTCAGGCCATCGCGTGAAACGGTCGATGACGGTAAGGCAATATCTGTAACCAGAAGACAGAATTAAGGGCCCTACGGTGTCGAGGTGGATATGGGAAAACCTCGACGAGGGAGTGAGGAAAGATGAATGGTATGACGGGTGATTTTGCTCTTTTGGCATGACTAGCATTGTCGAGACCACTCCCTACAATCTTTACGTATCCCTGGCCATACGTATCTTTGTGAGACGAATCACACAGTAGCTGAACTTCCAGGATGGTGTAAGCTGTGTATTGTATCAAGAACTTGTTTCCTGAACTGGGGAGTAACATAAGGACGTGACGGTTGCACAGAAGTGTCGCAGTAGAGAGGTAAGTTACCATTCATAGTGTTGATCCGTTTCAGTTGCAGGGTAGAGCCATGAAGAAGTAGATTTTGCAGTTCTGAATCTTTGTCCTGGGCTCGTGCAAGATCGTCGTAGTCCACAGCTGTAGTCATCTCCTCAACTCTAGAAAGTGCATCAGCAACTAAGTTTTCCTTACCAGGTAAGTATTTCAGGTCTATCGTAAACTGAACAATGTAGTCAAGGTGTCTGAACTGTCTTGGGGAGCATTTGTCTTTGCTCTTTGAGAAGGCGAAGATAAGAGGCTTATGGTCGGTGAATATTGTAAATATTCTGGCCTCGACCATATGGCGAAAGTACTTGATGGCTTCGTAGACAGCCAGTAGCTCTTGGTCGTAAGGGCTGTACTTCCTCTGTGCGTTTCTGAACTTGTGAGAGTAAAAAGCAAGTGGTTCCCAATCCTTACCTTTCCGTTTTTGAAGTACGGCGCCTATGGCAGTTTCAGACGCATCTGTCACTATTGCTAGTTCTGCAGCTGGGTCGGAATGAGCGAGAAGAGCTGCTTGAGATAGTGATTCCTTACAGTCATCGAAGGCTCGAAGTTATTGCAGAGTCATGACTATCGGATGAGACCCTTTGATTTTTGAGCCACTGAAAACGTCATTCAGCGGTGTTTGAAGTTGGGCTGCATTGGGAACAAAGCGACGGTAGAAATTTTGCATACATAAGAAACGTCTTAGTTCTTTGACCGTTTTTGTAACGGGGTATTGCCTGATAATTTCGACTTTGGACTCAAGTGGTTTCGTACCTGCAGCTGATACGAATTCCAGAAACGTGACTTCTGCTTGACCAAGTATACACTTGGCAGTGTTTACCACGACGCCGTACTGCTTTAGGCGTTCAAAGAGTTGCCGCAGATGATTCTTGTGCTCTTGGATGGATGACGAAAATACCAACATGTCATTTATATATCCAAAGCAGAAGTGGAGTCTTAGCAACACCTCGTCAATGAACCTCTAGAAGGTCTGTGCTGCGTTACTTAAACCGTAATACGTGAACGGAAAATCGTACAATCCAAATGGAGACGTGATCGCCGTTTTCATAATGTCATCTAGATTGACAGCGATCTGATTGTACGCCTTGACTAAGTCGATGGTAGAAAAGACAGAACAGCCTGTGAGTTGATACGAGAAGTCGTGGATATGACGGATGGGATATCGATCAGGTATAGTTCTATAGTTCAGTGCTCTGTAGTCTCCACATGGCTTCCAACTATTGTCTTTTTTCTTTACCATGTGAAGAGGAGAAGACCAAACGCTATCCGATGGTCTGGCTGTGCCGCTGGCGAGCATATCTGAGAACACCTGCTTCGCAGCTTGCATGCGAAGTGGATCCAGACGTCGAGACTTATTGGCTACTGGAGGTCCTGGAGTCGTCCTGATACGGTGCAGAGTACTGTGTTTGTATGGTAAGTGCATACCTGGAGAGCGAGTTATCTCTGGAAATTCACGCAGTATCTGGTGAAATTCGGT